CAACAAGCAATGTACATCCCGATACATACAAAATGGCACAATGTGGCACAGTGGAAGAGTCAAAGATAAGACCTGACCTAATTGAGACTGACACGACATCCCATCATACACCACACATGGAGGAGGGACCACATACATGGAAGAAAGGTCCCTCCTTGTACACGCACATGGGGGAGATACCACGGATGAGAGATGGGTGGAGAGGCGAGACGAGGATGGAGGTGAGGGAGAAGCCAAGATCGCAATAGCGAAGTCCAAAAATAGTCCCTTGCCGAATGTCCCACCAATGTCTGCCACAAAAATGTCGGATCAGATCCTGGGCGCTATGCCCGATGTAACCTCTGCCTGTAATCTCTCTCTCTCTCCCTGTGAAGAAGAAGAAGAAGAAAGGAGGAAGGAGGAGGAGGAAGACAAGAGGGAGACGAGATGAAGGAGAGAAGATGTTGTCCTCCTCACTGTCTCGCCTGCACGTACCGCCGATGTGTACTGACCACTGTCTTGTCGTCGTCATGTGCAGGTTGGTGCACCGTGGAGTCCCAGCTTTGGCGCCAGGTAAGCCCCGCTGCAGGTATGGCCTCCGCCCCTCTGCCTCCTACACCTCCACTCCCAACCTCAGGGCGCAGCACTAAGTAGCGCAGCCCTAGTCCAGCAGCGTGTCGCTCCAGAAGTGAGCTACTCGAACTGTGTGTCTGCCCTGGCCGTGGCCCAGCTATATACAGCTCTGGGCCGACCGGTGTGCCTCTGCGTGGCCTGAAAGAACGGCCCGCAAGGTCTGGACACCCGGTAGGGGCCCTGACCATGCTGCTGATGCAAGCAGGGCCCCAATGTGCACCTGGCCTTTATCGGCCCTGCCCCCCCCTGGGGACTGCAAGTCCCAAACGACGTCTGAACAGCAACAAATAGGACAGCAAATAAATAAATAAACAAATGCTGCCTCGCAGCCGTACCTGCGACCTGAGGGCCTCCAGGGCACGGGTCCGATGGGCACGCGGCCTGGGGGCCCCTCAGCAACCATCGGGCCCCTCGAATGGGGCCCGTGTGCATGTGCAGCATGTAATACCACACCACACCACACCAGACCACGCTGGCTTAGCTCGTCTGTACAAAGTGAAACGCTCGAGTTGGCAATTTGAGGGCTGGATATAATGACGATGTCAAAGGAATTGAGAGAAGAATGATGAGAGAGCGTCAGGACCTGAAATCTGTTGCCAGCTCATCTATCAACCGTCTGCCTCTCCAATATCACCGGATTGCTGCCACGTAGAGGGTATAGTATCTCAGAACGTGTCGCATTCAACAAGGGTGTCGTGTCTCATATCTGGTAAATTTCCATACATCAGGGATGGCGCCGGCTATGCCCAAAACCAACTTGTGAAACAACAACGCGGTTTGCGTAGGACGCACTCTCTCTCTCTCTCTCTCTCTCTCTCTCTCTCTCTCTCTCTCTCTCTCTCTCTCTCTCTCTCTCTCTTAAAAGAGGAAACGGCCATCACCACGGCAAGGGTCCGGTCAACTATGCCCCCGCGAACACCATACATCAGGGATGGCGCCGGTTACGGCCAAAATTGACTTGTGAAACAACAACGCGGTTTGCGTACGACGCTCTCTCTCTCTCTCTCTCTCTCTCTCTCTCTCTCTCTCTCTCTCTCTCTCTCTCTCTCTCTCTCTCTTAAAAAAGCAAACGGGCATCACCACGGCCATGGACAAGGACGTGTATACTGCGAAAGTAAAACCTCGCACGTGTTGTCTATTGTTGC